ACCCAGAGGTTACATTCCTACGCTTCCCCATCCAACTCCCCACCCCTCTTCCCCTTGCGCCCCTGCGTCCCATTGCTGCCGCTTCAGCAGGTCAACTGCTGGCATTTGGGGGTCCACGATGGGGCGCGAAGTGCGCGAGAGGTGTGCTGAATACTTTAAGCCCCATTGAAGGCCCCACCACGTTACCACCCCTTTTATAAAGTGTCCCAAACTACTCTTGCCCAGCACTGCGCAGGGTTGGGTACGTCGCCAGGGTAATGAGTATCGTCGCCCGCGCCGTCGCCTACGTCGTCAACATCACAATCGCCCGTCCGAGCCATGGATCTGCACGGGAAAAAGGGTCCTCGCACCATTGCACCAGGTGGGTTTCGCCGACACGTGTTGGGCGAGTGGGTGGGTTTTTCGTTCGAGCGACAGCTGGCGACCACAGCATCCGAAGAACGATTGCACCACATATTGTGCACAATCGAGATTGCCCCACGTGCAACGCATGCCGCCACAACATAGGGCGCACGTCGAGAGTGCACGAACCAATTGTTTGGGGGGCCCACACTGGCACACATCGCGGGGCCCTGGCGGGCCGTCTCGGACAAACGTGCCCTGGTGGGGCGTCTCTTGGGGGTCCCGTGGGCTTGGCATCGCTCGGACGTGTTTGGCCTCTCGCGGGCCGTCTGCAGCCCCTCAGCGGCCATCTTGGGGTTCTCTTGCGCTACAGTCAACCCGCATAGTAAGGATGGGCAACCTTCCCAAGGGTACCCTTGCACCCTTGCCCGTTCGGCCCATCCTCGGCCACTTTCGTCGGCCAACCTCGTTCGAAAAACGCGAGCGTGGCACGCCAAGGCCTGAGCATCCTTATCGCGCATCCATACGGGTTGACTGCATCCTGGGTCCCTCTTGGGCCGTCTTGGACCTCCTGGGCCCGTCTTGGGGCCCTCTGGGGCGTGGCCCGCAGGTCCCGCCGAGAAGGTTCCTTCGGCTCCCGTGTGAGAGTTGTTGCTCTCCTTCTCTCTCTTTCTCTCTCTCTCTCTCTCTCTCTCTTTATCTTGTCTCCTCCCCCCCCGTTCCTCGTCCTCCCCAGCCCTGATCAGCCGGTGCAATGTTTCACCCGATTATGTGTATAACGGCGAGGCCGGGATAATTGTGTCGTCGTTTCACTTGTTGTTCCCAACACTCCTTGGTTGGGTAGCCGTTTTAGCATTGCGGTCGCGTCTCCTTCTCTTCGTCCTCCTCTTCCTCCTCCTCCTCCTCCTCCTCCTCCTCCTCCTCCTCCTGCCTCCCTCTTGCCTCCTCTTGCCTTGTACGTACCTCTTCTGGGTGCATTTTGCCTGCGGAACCTCTTGTGTGTGCACCTTGTTTGGGGGGCTGCGATTTGCGAAACTGTCGCCGAACGCTGCGTGGGGGGGGCCAGCTATATTGGGTAGCCGCCGCAGACCCAAATTAGACATCGCCATCGCTGGGGTGCTGCGATTTGCGAAATTGTCGCCATTTTCGAGGGCTGCTGGAGGGAAAAGTATAGTGGGCATCCGCCGCAGACCCACATTAGACCTCGCCATCCCTGGGGGTCTGGGATTTGCGAAATTGTCGCCACGTTCGAGGGCTGCTGGGGGGGGCAGCCTAGTGGGTAGCCGCCGCAGGCCCAAATTAGACCTCGCCATCCCTGGGGGGCTGCGATTTGCGAAAATGTCGCCGCTTTCGAGGGCTGATTAGGGGGGGGCAACATAGTGCGTAGCCGCCGCAGATCCAGATTAGACCTCGCCATCCCTGGGGGGCTGCGACTTGCGAAACTGCCGCCACTTTCGAGGGTTGCTGGGGGGGGGGCAGCATAGTGCCGCAAATTCAAATTTGACCTCGCCATCCATGGGGGGCTGCGATTTGCAAAACTGTCGCCACTTTCGAAGGCTGCTTGGGGGGCCAGCGTAGTGGGTAGCCGCCGCAGACCCAAGGGGGGGCTGCGATCTACGCGAAACCGTCGCTACTTTCGAGGGCTGCTTGGGGGCCGGCATAGTGGGTAGCCGCCGCAGATGCAAAGTAGACCTCGCCATCCCTGGGGGGGGGCTGCGATTTGCGAGACTGTCGCCACTTTCGAGGTCTGCTGGGGGGACAGCTATATTGGGTAGCCGCCGCAGATCCAAATTAGACCTCGTCAGCCCTTGGGGGCTGCGATTTGCCAAACTGTCGCCACTTTCGAGGGCTGCATGGGGGCCAGCATAGCAATCTGCGAAGCTGCCGCCACTTTCGAGGGCTGCTGGTGGGTCCAGCGGAGTGAGGCACAGCGCAGACCTGAGCGAGACCTCGCCGTCCCTGGGGGGCTGCGATCTGCGAAACCGTCGCCACTTTCAAGGGCTGCTGGCGGGTCCAGCAGAATGAGACACCGCGCAGATCGGAGCGGGACCTCGCCGTCCTTGGGGGGCTGCGATCTGCGAAACCGTCGCTACTTTCGAAGGCTGGTGGCGGGTCCAGTGGAGTGAGGCACCACGCAGATCTGAGCGGGACCTCGCAATCCCTGGGGGGCTGCGAGCCTCACGAATGCCGCTCGCAGAAGGATATGCGCCCATGTCACGTCATCACCTCCGTATAACGTCTCCCGGGCCACTCATGCCCCGCATTGCGCAGGGGTTGGGTACGTCGCCAGGGTAATTGTTGTTGAGGGCTTGCGGACCTCCAGGTCCGCCTGCACACCTTGCAGGCGCGCTTTGTGTTATGGGCATGTTGGGCCGTCGCGGCGGCTCTGAAGGCTGATGCGGCAACTCTGCAGCGCAAACAAGCCATGAGTCATACACAGCGAGGCGCGTAGGGCACGTATGTGGAAAAATCGTTGGTTCTCATCTATCCGAAAGAGCTGCCGCCCCGAGGTGTGGCCCAGACAGCAACCGAAGAGCCACAGAGAGGGAGGAGGAGTGGAACCGGTGTAAACCCAAGATGCACCAACGATGTCGGAGTTAACCATCCCTCCAAGTCCCTCTTCCCAGGTCCCTGAAACGAGTAATGCTCATTGCGGCCAGTGGCCCATTGGAAGACAATCGTCTGAGAGTCCTCCATCGTGCCAACACGCAGCTTCTAAGACTTCAACGCCGCGGATCGGCACCACTGCTGCGATATGACAGTGCTAAAGCCGTGCCAGAAGACCGTTCCTGGGACTCCACAGCAAAGAGGATCCTTCGAGCTGTGGCGCCCTGGCAGGCCGAAGGCGTGCCAGAACACAGTTCCTGGGACTCTGGTCATACGAACCCCTCGAAACTGTAGGCGAGCGTGCGCGGCGCTAGGGCGAGAGCCACAGGCTGAACACGCCCCGCCCTCCGTCCGTGAAACTGTTGCAGTGTTTTTAAGACGAGCGTGCGCGTCGCTACGGCGGGAGCCACCCTTTGAAAACGAAGCCCCCTCGACCCGCGAAACTGTCGTAAGGTTTCCAAACGAGCGCGCGCGGCGGCAAGGCGAGAGGCACGTGTTGGAAACGACCCACCCCCCATCCGCGAAACTACTTGCAAGCTTTCAGGACGACTGTGCGCGGGGCCGGAGCCACAGTTTGAAAACGGCCCGCCCTTCGTCTTGGCATCGCTCGGACGTGTGCATTTTTCCTTCGGCGAGGACCACCGAGGAGCATCCTTGATCATTTGGCGAAAAAACCACGCACGAAACCGAAAAAAGCACAGGGAATGGACGTCCGAGCGATGGCCAGTCGTTCATGAAGCTGCTTACACGCTCTCTCAGGCTCCAGGCTCGTACATGGTCGGGAGGCCTCCGGCGGAGCGCCGGGCCCGCCCTGCCGACTCTGGGGGCTCGACGGGGAGGAGCTGTCTGCAGGAAGCACGAGTGGAGCGGGGGGAAGTGGACGAGCGGAGGGAGACAGAGGGAGGAAGCAGCGAAGTTTGCCCAGTGGCGGTCCCCTTCGGGCCCCCCTTGGGCCGTCGAGGGAGCGTAGTGCCCCGTGTTGCGGCCAACGTGGGCCGTCGTGGCCCGTCTCGGGGTTCTTCGCGGGACCTCTCGGCAATTCCCTTAGTGGGCCGTCTTCGGCCGTCCCTGCTCGCCCGCGACTTGGCCTCCCTTCTCGCGGCCTGACCCCCAGGGAGAGCTTGACCTCAGGGGCTCTGACTTCAGTTCCTTGAGGAACTGGGTGGATGCGTCAGGTTCTCGTCACCACGCTGCGAGCCCGTGCCGCCTCGTGGGCGCCCCGCGCCTGGGGAGTACGGCGAGATGGCGCCACGTGGCCGCCAGGTGCCGCCTCGTGGGCGCCCCGCGCCCTGGGAGGCAGGTTGGGCTGCGGCCACGTGGCCGCCCGTGCCGCCTGATGGGCGCCCCATGGTTTGAGCTTGCACAGCAATGCTTTCCCCACATAGCTTACACCGCATATATATATATATATATATAGATACAGATTTCACTACATGTACCCGCGTTCGCTTGTGGCGCAGCAAGCCTGTAGCATGCGGAGGTGAGAACCCGTAGAGGGCCCCAGGTTTGCCCATCGTTGCGCAAGCCCGCCAGTCCTTTTTTGCCCACAGGGGCCCTGGCCGTCATTCACCAGAAGACTCATCCGACGACCCTCACAGTTCTGGGGATAGGTCGTCGGATGACTCTTCTGGTGAATGACGGCCAGAGCACGCCCGCTGTCTCCAGCATGGAGCCTAGCTGGGCCAGCCCAGCGTAAAGACACGTTTCCGGTCCATGTTGATCCCCCTCCCGGGCTTGGCGCGTGGTTTCTTCCCTCGTCACCCTGCTCCTCCTCGTGTACGGACCAGATTGATTATGCCTGGCACTTCATTTAGCCGCCTGAGGGCATCCGACGGACTGGAGACCGCTTCATATGCACCCGGTGCTGCTGCTTGCCCACGGGCGTGCCAGCTTTTGGACCAACTTCGTCTTCTCCCCCAACTATGGCCGAAGACCGCTTCATGTAGTCCACTCCATATTGCCCACTGCGCACGGGCGTGCCATGTGGCCAGTTTTTTCTGGGCCGACTTTGTGCTCCCCAGCTATGGCCGTGGGTTCATCAGCACGTGCAGCTCGTTACTAAACGCGGTCGGCTGCGAGGCTGATCTTCAGACCAATTCCGCTTGCGGTCAGACCAAAAAAAAGCCCACAGAGGCCCCGCCCCTTTATAACAGCAAAATGACGGCAAGCTCGTCCAGCCAAGCAGCAGGGTTATGACATTATCCCAAGAACCTATGTTCATGAGATTTGAGGCACCCCCAGCGAGACCCCCGTTCCCTCTGACGCCTTTCGAGCGGCACTGGCGATTGTTATTGCTACCTCTTGTTGTTCCCAGCTCCTACTCTTCATTCCCGTCGCCATCCTCTTTCTCCTCCTCTTGGCTACTCTTCCCCATCCTCCCCGGCGCCTTCTTTTCCGTAGCCATTTTGGCTCAAGCACTTTGGCCCAGGCAGCGCGACTTCGGGCCTGCGGCGGCCCTGCCCAGACCCCGCCGATTCCCGCTTCGAGCGCCGCCGACCGCGGCGGGAGCCAACGGCCGCAGGGTGCCTCCCCGAATGCCTCGTGGATGTCGGAGCAGACGGGGGCGAAGCACCGCGCCGCATCGGCGATGCCTCGCCGATGCGTCGGCGACGCGTCGGCGAGGCATCGGCGCCGTCGGCGTCGAGGAAACCGAGCTGCACACCGAGGCGCATCGGCCGCCGCCGAGGCCGAGGCCCGCTCGCCGTGTCTTCGGCCGCCCTCGTGGCCCTCTGCGCCGCAGCTGCCGCTCGTGGCGGGGGCCCTCGCCGGGCCCCAGGGCCTCGGCATCGCTCGGACGTGTGCACTTTTCCGTCGGCGAGGACCATCGAGGAGCCTCCTTGACCATGTGGCGAAAAAACCACGCACGAAACCGAAAGAAGCCCACGGAATGGACGTCCGAGCGATGGCCAGGGGCCGTCGAAAAAAACGGCTCGGGATATAAATAGCCATAGGGGGGAAAGGGGCGAGGCGACGGGAGACCGACCGCCCCCTGGCGCGAGAGAGGTGTGCTCGGGAGAGGGGTGAGGCAGCGCCTTGCCTCCGCCTCCTCCGCCTCCTCCTCCTCCTCCTCCTCCCTCCTCCCTCCTCCTCCACCTCCTCCTCCTCCTCCTCCACCTCCTCCTCCTCCTCCTCCTCCTCCTCCTCCTCCTCCTCCTCCTCCTCCTCCTCCTCCTCCTCCTCCTCCTCCTCCTCCTCCTCCTCCTCCACCTCCTCCTCCTCCTCCTCCTCCTCCTCCTCCTCCTCCTCCTCCTCCTCCTCCTCCTCCTCCTCCTCCTCCTCCTCCTCCTCCTCCTCCTCCTCCTCCTCCTCCTCCTCCCCTCCTCCTCCTCCGCCTCCTCCTCCTCCTCCTCCTCCTCCTCCTCCTCCTCCTCCTCCTCCTCCTCCTCCTCCTCCTCCTCCTCCTCCTCCTCCCCTCCTCCTCCTCCTCCTCCTCCTCCCCCCTCCTCCTCCTCCCCCCTCCTCCCCTCCTCCTCCTCCTCCTCCTCCTCCTCCTCCTCCTCCTCCTCTCCTCCTCCTCCTCCTCCTCCCCTCCTCCTCCTCCTCCTCCTCCTCCTCCTCCTCCTCCGCCTCCTCCTCCTCCTCCTCCTCCTCCCTCCTCCTCCTCCTCCCTCCTCCTCCTCCCTCCTCCCTCCTCCCTCCTCCCTCCTCCCTCCTCCCTCCTCCCTCCACCCTCCTCCCTCCCCCTCCTCCCTCCTCCCTCCTCCCTCCTCCCTCCTTCCTCCTTCCTCCTCCTCCCCCTCTTGCCGAAAAGATCGATATCGACTTCAGCTGCAGGTGTTTTGAGATTGTCATCAGAACTTCGTGGGAACCCGAATGGCTTCGACGTGGCCCCTTGAAATCTGGGCCTCCCAGGTAGGGTCCGAGCAGACGGGGTCGGAGGATCGCGCCGCAGCACCGATGCATCGCCGATGCGGCTCGATGAGGGGGCCGATGCCCTCCACGCCGGCGCCGCCGATGCATCGCCGCTGACGCGGCGCGACCTTCTGACACCCTCTGCTCGGGCCCTACCCCAGAGGCCTTTATTTCAGGAGGCCCCGGAGGCCTTTATTTCAAGAGGCCCCGGGGGACCAGTCTCGGCCCGCCCGGGCGCCGCGCCGCGGCGCCCGAGCCCGCGGGCCGAAGCAGCAGGCGCGCCCTCTCGGGGCCGCCGCGCGACCACTCGGGCCGCGCGCGGTCGAGCGGGCCTCGGCCTCGGCCTCGGCGGCGGCCGGTGCGGCTCGGGGTGCAGCTCGGTTTCCTCGACGCCGGCGGCGCCGGTGCCTCGCCGACGCGTCGCCGGCGCATCGGCGATGCATCGCCGATGCGGCGCGGTCCTCCGCCCCCGTCCTTGGCATCGCTCGGACGTGTGCATTTTTCCTTCGGCGAGGGCCATCGAGGAACATCCTTGACCACTTGGCGAAAAAACCACGCAGGAAACAAAAAAAAACATAAAAAATGGACGTCCGAGCGATGGCGAGCGGCCGGCCCGTGCGCCGCGCAGCCGCGCCGCGGCGCCCGAGCCCGCGGGCCGAAGCAGCAGGCGCGCCCTCTCGGGGCCGCCGCGCGACCACGCGGGCCGCGCGCGCGGTCCAGCGGGCCTGGGCCTCGGCGGCGGCCGCTGCGGCTCGGTGTGCAGCTCGGTTTCCTCGGCGCCGGCGGCGCCGAGGCCTCGCCGACGCGTCGCCGACGCATCGGCGATGCGTCGCCGATGCGGCGCGATCCTCCGCCCCCGCCGGCGAAAAAACCACGCACGAAACAAAAAAACACAAAAAATGGACGGCCGAGCGATGGCGAGCGTCTGCTCCGACGTCCAGGAGGCATTCGGGGAGGCACCCTGCGGCCGCTGGCTCCCGCCGCGGTGGGCGGCGGTCTGGCTCGCCGCGCGTCGGCGTCGGCGGCGCTGCCACGGCCTGCCTGTCTGAGCCCGCCCCCGGCGCCGCTGGTGGGCCCGAGGTTTGCCCTGCTGCCCCTTCCCCCCCAGGGGTTCTCGTCGTGCGGTCCCTCTGCCTCTGCCCTTCGCCCCCGCCGCCTCTCCCTCTCTTCCCCCGTTCTCCCCTTCCGCTGCTGCACCTTCTCGTCCCCTCCCCCGAGAGATCCCGCTGCTGCGACCCCCCCGGTCGTCCCTTCCTGCCTTCCCCCATCACCTGCCCCAGTCGAAAAAGGAAAACTACCATAAGCATAAACTGTTGACGCTCCGCGCGGATATCTTGGATCCGCGCCAGGGGCGGCGCCGGAGGCGCAGCCGGAGGGGGTCAAGCGCAGATCCAAGAAATCCGCGCGGAGCGCCAGAAGTTTCTGTTTATGGCGTTTTTCTTCCTCTACCCTTAAGTCGGGCCTGTCCCTCTACAGGGGAATATTCAAAAATAGGGAAAAAATAGTATGGGGCTTATTTTGGGAACATGTTTGGACCATTTGGGGGTATTGTTTCAGTATTTTTTGAGTTTTCGTCGAGCATCCCCCTGTAGGGGGACACGTCCGACGTAACTCTACCTCGCCCTCCTCCTCCTCCTCCTCCTCCTCCTCTCCTCCTCCTCCTCCTCCGCCTCCTCCTCCTCCTCCTCCTCCTCCTCCCCTCCTCTCTCCTCCTCCTCCTCCTCCTCCTCCCTCCTCCTCCTCCTCCTCCTCCTCTCCTCCTCCTCCTCCTCCCCTCTCCTCCTCCTCCTCCTCCCTCCTCCTCCTCCTCCTCCTCCTCCTCCTCCTCCTCCTCCTCCTCCTCCTCCTCCTCCTCCTCCTCCTCCTCCTCCTCCTCCTCCTCCTCCTCCTCCTCCCTCCTCCTCCTCCTCCTCCTCCTCCTCCTCCTCCTCCTCTCCTCCTCCTCCTCCTCCTCCTCCCCCTCCCCCCCCTCCCTCGCGATCCCCCCCTCCCCCCCCCGCCCCATCCGTCCAGCCCCCGCAGGTCTCCTGCTGCCAGGCAGGGGCGCTCGCCCGTGCGCGCTCCCTCGAGGGGAAGCAGGGGGCCGCGCCCGCCGGTCCCGCGGGGGGGCGCTCGCGCAGGAGGGAGGAGGGGGGAGGGAGGAGGGAGGAGGGAGGAGGAGGAGGAGGAGGGAGGAGGGAGGAGAGGAGGGGGAGGGAGGAGGGAGGAGGGAGGGAGGAGGAGGAGGAGGAGGAGGGAGGAGGAGAGGAGGAGGAGGAGGAGGAGGAGGAGGAGGAGGAGGAGGGAGGAGGGACGAGGACGAGGAGGAGGGAGGAGGAGGAGGAGGAGGAGGAGGAGGAGGAGGAGGAGGAGAGGAGGAGGAGAGGAGAAGGAGGAGGAGGAGGGAGGAGGAGAGAGGAGGAGGAGGAGGAGGAGGAGGAGGAGGACAAGAGTAAACCAAAGATGCATCAGCGATGCTGCATGATACACCCTCCCGCCCCAAGTGGCCCCCCCTCTTCCCGCAGTGTGCAACTACGGCTTCTCTTCTTCACTACACGAAGAGCGCTCCCCCCCCTGAAAGAGCAGCAGCAGCAGCAAAATTGGACCTGCCAGTTTGGCGAGGACCCCGCTTCGAAACGGAACTTCCTTTCATGTCTCTGGCGCGTAACCAGGAGCGCGAAGAACAAATGTTCCTTATTTCACATAGGTGTCCTGCGAGACCCCCATTTGCGAAGAAGAACCGCCCAACGTCGCACGAACTTCGAAGAAGTCCCAAGCGGCAGCTCCAGTTTGAAAAGAGCCGCCCGCCGTGGATCTGCGCAGCGGCTACATGCTTTGAAGTTCAACGAAATCTCAAGCGGGAATCCTCCGCCTTCTCCTCCTCCTGAAGTCCGTCCTGCGAAGCGCTGCAGTCAAGGACGAATGTGCGTGACGTTGAGGCGCGAGCCTCACTGTGAGAACGACCAGTGTTCAGCATTCGAAGCTGCTGCGAGATTCTGCGAAGAATGTCCGAGGCGCTCAAAAGCGAGAGCCCCGCTCTGAAACGGAACCTCCCTCCATCCATGAAACCAGTGCACATGTTTGAGATAACAACTGCGACATTCTTGCAATTTGTTGAAGCGAGTGCGCGCGTGGCTCAGGCGAGAGCACCATTTTGAAAACGGCCGACCTTCCATCCGCGAAACCGCTGCAAGGTTTAAAATGCAATGTGCGCGGCACAAAAGAGAGAGTCACATTTTGAAGCGGAATTGCT